AAGTGAACGCTTGCAACGTGCTTAGAACAGCATGCATATGCTGATGGTGTCATTAATAGTCTTTCCTAGCCAGCCTGTGCCAAAGTAGCAGGGGTCGAGTGAGGGGAGGCTCAGAACAAGTGTTGATTTGATATAAAAGAAAAATGTTACATTTCTTATCCTTTTGAATAGCACACACCACCCCAACATCCCCCGCTCAGAGTCTGGCTGTCTTTGAGCAGCTCCAAGTCTGAGTCAGCTACGCGGGCCCTCCCCAAGGTGAGGCAGCACCCGGCACACCCCCTGACCTCCACAAGCTACATATGCCTGCTAACCCAGGCTTGATCATGAACACCCCGTGCCCTGGTGGAGCGCCTTCCCTGCACGTCCACTCTGTCTGCTCAACATACCAGCTTCCTTCAACGCCTCGCCATCTTTTCCATCTCCACGCTCTCTGCACCCTTATATTTAAGGTGCTCTGTTTTGGAACCTCGGAGGATCAGATTTTGTTCTTTTTCCAGGCTGACAGCATTGGCAGTCATGTTTGCCCGATGTAGATACTGAAGCATCCGGGCTGAAACTGCCTTCTGCTTGTTTTCTGTTTGTTCCCTCTCCTCTGTGCGCCTTCCTCTCTTTTCTTGCCTTATTTTATTATTTGCTAGGACCCAACTGTCTTGGAAGTTTACATTCTTTTGTTCTTTCAGAAGTGCCATGGAAAGAGATGCCCCTGGTTCATTCGTTTCCCATATAAATTAGCGTCTTCACTATTTCCAGACAATTCAAGGACCTCAGGAGACTCCCACTCCACTTACGTCCCGCCAGACTTGCCTGCCTTTTAAAGGGTCGTGTGTTTCAGTTCTTTATAAACTGAAGACCTGCACAGTAGGACACCAGCGTTTTATGTCAGTGTCCACCGAGGCTTCCTCCTGTAGTTAGCTGTCCCACTGCTTCCCATCCCTTCCTGTACCTCCACGCTCTGATCTGCAGCCCTCTCCCCTCCGCTGGAGAAACCGCCTCGTGCTTTCCTTGGAAACCTTGTCACAGGGCAAATTCTCTCACTTGCCTGCAAATGTCTTTTGAAGGATGCGCTGGCTGCATATAGTCTTCTAAGTGGGTGATTAGTTTTTTAAGTTCTTTGAACTTCACCTTCCCAATGAGTCTTCCAGAAATTCTCAGCTTCTCAGCCACGGCCCTTGAGTGAGCAAGTGCCTTGAGGGGAAACTGATCCCAAAGGCAGGGTTCACCTCCGCAGTATCGGTCCCCGCTTTCTCCACAGCCTTTTTACGCCTTGATACGCACATTACGGCTTTTCCAGTTTTCTCTGCACAAGGATTGGTGTAAAACAAGCGAATCACTGTTTGCTCGAGGCTGAACTCTCCACACGCCTTACTGTATAATTAGCTGATTTTATTGAAGAGTTCCAAGTCTGGAGTAGAACAGATTTGGGTTCAAATCTCTATTGTGCGACTTTCTAGCTGTGTGATGTTAGGTGAACTGTCTTTTTGTCATCTGGCGAATGGACGTAACAGGAGTATCTACCTTGAGTCGTTTCTAAGGATTTACTTTAAAACACAGGCGTAGCAGGAATAGAGCCATGTTAATTTTGAAAGGCTTCTACTCATCTTCGCAGTTATCCCTATGGAAGGGACGGACCAGCGCAGCTGTGAGCCGTGAGCCGGAGCGGGGGTGCCTGCTCGAGACCCCGTGCAGGTCTTAGCTTCTCCCTCGGCCCCTCCAGCTCACGGTGGAAGAGCTTCCAGCACCATGGGGAGTACTCTGGGCCTGCACCGATCAGCTGGAGGAAGAATCAGGATTTAGCAGTAGGGACAAGAAAATATGCTTTATTAGCAAGATGTGAGAAAATGGCCCTGCACTGGGCCCCCAAATTTAATGGGAGCGGGCAGGTCAGCCACTGGGGCTTGCTCTGGGAAGGGCAGAGCATTTGCTGGGCCTGGGCCTCCCGGTGCCCAGGGAAGGCTTCCCCCTTCCTCAGGGTCCTGCTCGGTAGAAAGGTCACAGGGGCTCTGAAACAGGAGCCCTGAGCAATTATTCTGTGCTCTTTGATAAGAAAACCTTTTTTTAATTTTTTTCACAGATCCCATACTATCGCGTACTGCAAGCCTTGCCCTGCTCCTCTGCACTTGTGTTCCAGAAGCATTATCAGAGACTTCTCTTTGTTGTGAAATGACTTTGGTGTTCAGAGTTTGAAACCTACAAAATCTTATCACCACGCAAACTATAAAACCACGCTGCGGGTTTCTCCCGCTCGCCTGGGCTGCGGCTTGCGTGTGACGCTGGCATGGCTGCCCGCGGAGGTGAGCCAACTGGCCACAGGCAGCCTCTCCCAGGTACGGCTTGGTAGTGGAGAGCACCACGTGCCAGAGCCTGGCACGGTTTCGCTGATCCAGAAACACCATTCCAGAAATGGAAGCCCCAGGGCCTGACCTGCCCCACAACTACAGGAAGCTGACATTATCAATCAACACAGCACCGTCTTAACAGTGAGGCAAAACTTGCCGCTGGCAGTGTGCAGCTAATGCTGCAAACATTTCAACAGTGTTGACACAAAGAGCCAAAAAACCCAGAGAGATCACTGGCAGATAGGTGGCATCAAACCGTCCCACCAAACCAGGGTGCAAATGTGTCCTGTTCTTCCAGTCCTGGGGATCACTGTGCTTTTGCCCAGCTAACATAAGCTCACATCCTCACTCTAGGAAGCCAGGTCTCTACGGTGATGTGTAAGTAACAGGAAGTCCCAGAGGTGCCAGTCCAGAAACATCTCCTGGCTGTTGCTGGTGCCCACGTGGCCCAGAGACCACTGTCTGTGCTTCTGTGCTGCTTTTTGCCATCTGGAAACCATCTCTAAGCTAGTGCCAGCATCTTGGAACCATCTGGTCCCTGTGTGGACACAGCCCCTCGCTGAATGGTCCAAAGCACAGATGACCCTGAGCTGTAGTTTTGTACAAAGATGTACTGGAAATGAGGCTCACGTGAGGGAGTTAACAAAGTAGGGAAAATGAGAGTGGGTGGTGCATCCCAGGGCCCTTACAACCCACGGCCGCACCCTTCCCAGGGGGATCTGTGACTAGCGGCTTCCTCTCTAGGCCCTGCCTGCAGTGAGGAAGGCCTGCTCCTCTCCTGCACAGGCGTGTCCCCCAAACGCTGCTCCCCTTGATGGACTCCACAGCTCCAATTCTCCTCTCCCCAGCTCCTAACAGGAGAGACTGAGCAATCACATAATTGTCTCTGCCCCCGCCTCAGGACCTGGCCACTGGAGTATTTCTGCCAGCAGTGACCGCTTAGTTAGCTCCCAGGCTAAAAACGCAGACCTGCCCTCTGGGCACAACAACTGCATCACCCGGAGACAAGCCACAGCGCCCTCTGTCGAACATCTATCTGCCCAGTCCTGATTTTTTCTGATTACAGTTAGCAATAACGATCCTGAAAGCTAAATCTCATCTATGTATGATATCTTTTCAAACCTTTGCTGGTTGAAAAGGTATGCGTTCACTTAGTCTGCAGGTAAACGGCAGGCAGTCTTCCGGAACTGGGGCTGGAACAATGAGCATAAATATGCTGCTCTCAAGCCTCGGAGCCCTCACACATTGTGAGAGAGAAAGAAGGAAATAAACAAACTGCAACAGCATTAAATGCCAAGTAAATTGTACTTCCAGAGAAAAGTCCTCCTAAGGAACTGGCGATCATGCCGAGATCTGATGTCAACAAAAGAAGGACTACGGTGTTTGGAGCAAAAAGATCAGCAACCTAAAAAGCCCTGGGATGAGCAGGAGACAGTGCTGGAACTCAAGACCTACCCAAAGTGCAGGCTTTGCGGAGCTCAGATTGACGGAGGAGGCAAGGGCCCAGGCTTTCGGGACTTTGTGAGCCACGTTAACCAGTCTGATCTTCACTCAGAGAACAAGACTGCGCACTTCTGAACACGTCATACCTGCTGGAATGGCTACAGGCTACTCGTATCTGATACGCCCTACAGCCTCACCAACACTGAGCAACAACTCCACAGTTTAATTTCCACGTACTAAGTCTGTGTGTGTATTTACTGCCCATTCGTGTTGGAGTACTGTCTTATTTTATTAACTGGGCCCATTTTTTTTTTTTTTTGCTGGACTCAATTTAAGACTTAATTGCCTTTTCTATCTTTTTTCTAATTGTTTGCCTTTAAATTTTATATATATTATATAACTATGGATACTTCCAAAATTAGTGAAAAATAGAATTAGAAGATAAGCTTCTTTTTATGCAAAAGTACTGTGAAATCCTTGCATATGAGGGGTCTTTGAAAAGTTCATGAAAACACATACTTGAGAAAACTATGCGTGGATTTCACATTTTGGGGGGTACCAAAAAGAAACTTATTAATTCCATTTTTCCAAAAACTTTCTGAAGTAACTTCATATACAGCAATCTTTTAATGATTCTGCCAGGAGGGTGTTTTCTAACTCTAGATTATATAAGCATCCATCTACATTTTCTGTTAGAATTCCCATACAGCAATTGTTCAGTCAAACATAGTATCTCGAATGCCCTCTACAAATAGAAACCTAATACTACATTTCAAAGAGTTGGTCAGTAATCCCTTAAAATGTCACCTTTATCATTGTAAGTGAGTAACTTAGAAGACAACGCATGACTACTTTCTCAATCTCTACTCTGTTCTGTTATCTACCTGTATATCTCTGTATATCTCAATACCACACTGATAATTTATAATGCATTTCCTGTTCGACAGAGTCCTCCCCTCCACGTTTGTTTGATTTTTAGTTAGCTATCCTGTGGGAAACTCGCTCCTTCTTATGAAATACTAAATGGCATGTACAGGACTTTAGATAAGCCTGTAAGGCTTCAGACTACCTGAGAACAAGAACATCCATCTGGAATGGAAGGAGGTAGAAAACCCCGAAGATTGCAGCAAGCCTTCCAAACAACTGCCAAGAGTGACACCAGTGTCTACACGTGGGAGTGTGTTGTTGCAGAGTCTGAACAAATACCCCATAGCACCATTTACCATAATTCATCATTGCTTTTTTATTTAAAAAAATTACAGGGAGCAATTTCCAGCACATCTTGTTCTATAAAAGTACTACTGCCTGTATCAAACACTTTGTATCACTGTTAATTCCACTGAAGAGCTGCCTTTTTTTTTTTAAGGTACTAATTCCAATTGATGGGATACATTGCCCTCAAAATAGAAAGTGTCCACCATTTACTCAAATTTCAAAATTAAGAATATTGAGACATTTATTGCTTTATGTCTGGGCAAGATTCTACTAGCACATTTTTGGTAAATAATAATCTTTATTAAAAACTATGAGGTCATTCTGTTTAAAACTTTCAGGATAATTCACAGAAAATAGATATATTTATTCAAATTACACATTGAAGGGCTGGGTTACTTGCTTTGGATATTTACATGTGAAGCAGCTCTTTAAAGAAATGAGAAAAACACAGACAGGTCTGTGTGTCTTGGTGCACTATGCATAATTTAAATGAACAGACCTGGAAGGCCAATACTGTTACTCTATGTTGTTAGGATCTTTAAAAAAAAATCAGACATTTAGTAGTCCATTTGTGCTTAAAATATTCATATGCATGAGAAGCTTAAAGGGAAAAAAAAACACCTCTGTACATGATATTCAAAAGAAAGTTATAAATTTTTTTGAAATTGCACTGTTATTTAGCCCACTTTCCTCACGTCAGACCCTCCTTTGCAGCTGGCACAGTCTCTCGGGTCTAGTTGGCAACCTGGGGAGGCCCCTCCGGGATCAGCGAAGTGAAGAAAGTGGTGATGAACGACCACGCGGCAGCCATTAGCCCAGGCCTCGGAACTGCACTGGCGTCTTCGCCTGCGTCTTCCCCGCTCTCATCTTCCAGCCCGTCGTCCATGAGACGCTCCTGCCAAAGGAAACCAGCAGCACACTCCTCAGTGATCCGACAGCTGGGAAGGAAAGAGTAAGCTCTTCTCGCTACACATAAGGACTGCAAGTGTGTAGTAAGGGAGTGGTGCAAACGTGGTCGTTGGAAATGTCAGAGTCCAAAGCTGGCAAATTAAGTTCCCCCACGTTCAAGTCTGACAGGGACGAACACCAACAAAATACAGTAAATTCTTGCCATGTTCTTCATGTCCTGTCTAGGCTGTTCTCCCCACTTGATTCTAAGACAAGAAGAGTACTTCAAGGCATTCAGGGGAGACAGAATTACAATATAAGTTTAGATTGGCACTAAAAAGTTAAAAATCTACACATACAAGGGTCTTCAAAAAGTTTGTGGAAAATGTCTACTGTCCAGAAACTATGCATGGATTTCAAAATGTTTGATTCAGTATTATACTCTAAGTTCTTCCACATGAAACCACCACAATATATCTGTTAGCTTTTCTGCATAAGCCACTCCACAAACACTTACGGAACATCCATGATTTTTTTGTTATCATGTTTGTCCTACAGAATGTTGGGAAAATATATACATTTAAACTACACAAAAGCCTCAAAATTAACTTCCCATCACCAGCCTTGGTATTAACGCCCAGTCCCTAACCTCAGTGCTAACATACCATTAACGCCCAGTCCCTAACCTCAGCGCTAACATACCATCTCCTCAAGTTCCAGGTTGTGTGCGTTTTGCCCATCGTTGTTGACTTCAACATTATTGTTGGGAGCCTGTTGTTGACCTCCTTCCTGCCGAAAAGGAAACCATCCGGCTTGGTGTCTATTCAGGAAAATAAAGAGAAAAGAAAATAAGCCACAGTTGTTTTTATTTCTAACACTATTCAAACATCAGGGTCCGATAAGGGGAAGGTGTCTATAACTGAAATTAGGACAAGACCAAATTGCTCACTGCAGGCCAGGTACTGCCTTTCTCAAAAGAGTGACAGCAAAACAAGAACCAATTCAAATCTAAAAGTCTATCATGGTTTCACTGGTTCTGTTACATATCAGAAAAATCTTTTTCGGTATTTTTCTAAATGAACTACAATTATACATTTTTTTATCCCTGAGGAGAAAAAGCAGCAAGTGAAAAATTTGTTACTTATGAAAAAACTTGACCTATACCTAGGACTTAACTCTTGATAACTATGATGAACAACAGCATTGTGTGCAAGAACATCAAATACTTCTTCCATGTCTCACTGAACTAGCAATATTTATAAAATGCAGGAAACAAAATCTAAACAATTCTCACAAAACATCCCTACAAAACCCAGCCCGCCCCACTCTGGGAGCAGAAGCCTGGGTAACGCTAAAGCCCAATGTTCATATTCCCTCACTTGGCATTAACGACAGACTCCCTGATCCAGACCCTGCTCTACTTAGAAAGTAGAGAAATCAGGGCTGGTGCTGTGGCACACTAGGGTAAGCCTCTGCCTGCAGCACCAGCATCCCAGATGGGCACCGGTTCAAGTCTCAGCTGTTCCTCTTCCAATCCAGCTCCCTGTTAATGGCAAAGCAGCTCCCTGTTAATGGGAAAGCAGCGGAAGATGGCCCAAATGTTTGGGCCCCTGCAACCACATGGAGGACCTGGAAGAAGCTTGTGGCTTCGGCTATTTCTGGCCATTGTGGCCATCTGGGGAGTGAGCCAGCTGATGGAAGATCTCTTTTTCTGTCTCTCTCTCTCTCTGTAACTCAGCTTCTCAAATAAACAAATAAATTCTTTAAAAAAAAAAAGGTAAAAAAATCACAAAAATTGAACATCACTCACAAGTAAACCAGCAGCATGGCTCCCATGACCATGATAAAGCGGCTAAAGGAAGAGTAGAAGTACACAATGCTAAGGAGAATCGCGGCGCGTGAGAGTGTGTACATCCAGTCTAGCCAGTCTCGGTTGAAGTCTTCTTCGTTGAGCACCGGGCCTCCCTGTGCATTCATCTGAACGTTCTCATTCACAGGTCGATTTTCCTGGGCCACTAGATTTGGAGCCGGTGGGGGATCCTCTCCAGCAACATGTGCCAAATTTAGAGGCTGTGGAGCAGCAGGCTGGGCAGGGTTGGCATCTGATGTGGCCTGAGCTGAAACTGCAGCTTGACTGAAATATCACCAAATAAATATTAGAAAGAAAATCCCATGCTACAGTTTTTTCAAACTTCCTAGGGAGTCATTTTTCATAAACCTCATATGGACTGTCACACTCCTACACTACAAGTCTTAGGTAAACGCAAATTCCAGTGGAAAAGTGGAGCCAAGATTGATGGCAGGTATAGCGCTGGAGAGGATGCTCTCTTATCCTGGGAATCTAAGACAGCATGGAAGAGGCAGAAGAAACAAAGGCAATGAGCACTCTTGTCTGCCTCCCATGAACCTACCTGACACTAAGAAAGTGAGTCCAGACCTTTTCACTAATGGCCCCTCTTATCTACTTGGAATGAATACTCTAAGCTAACCATCTCGCCCTCAGATCCGTGTTTTGAAAGAGTTGCCTAAAATTGTGTATTATTAATGATTACCCTACTATCAATGAGAAATGACTTATGCTAGCATTTTATTAATTGCTCAGTTATTCTTTTTAAAATTTAACTCCAATTTATTTGAAAGGCAGGGAGACAGAGACAGACAGAGAGATCTTCCATGGGCTGGTTTACTCCTCAAATGCCTGCAACAGCTGGGGCTGGGCCAGGCCAAAGACAGGAGCCAAGAACTCAATTCAGGTCTCTCACATGGGTGGCAGGGACCCAACTACTTGAGCCATTACTTGCTGCATCCCAGGGTGGACAGTAGCAGGAAGCTGGAATTGAAAGCAGAACCTAGACTCCTACCCAGTAACAAGGGATGTGAGTATCCCAAGTGGCATCTTAACCACTGCCCCAAACGCCTGCCCCAGAGTTAGTATTTTAGGTACTAAATACATCTCAGGGAAGAAGCCCTCCATGTCAATCTACTTTATGGAAACTACAATGGGGGCCCACTGGTCCTTATTAATTTAGGAAGAAAAGCATTCTTATATTCCTGAAGTTTGCTTATAATTTGCATAAAAGTCAAAATGAATTTTCCTGTAACAAGTTCCTAGTAAAATGATAATTTATCTAGGATCTGCTTTAAATTATTTAACAAAAAGGGGAAGGTTGTAGAAAAAGACTGACAAGAAGTGATAAATGCTGAAGCTGGGTGGTAAGCACACTGGGATTTATTTTACTATTCTATCTATCTTGTGATGTTGATCAACTTTTTACTGAAAACATTTAAACAATCATGATGGCAAAAGGAAATTAAGTAACTATTTCCTAGGCTACAAAAGACTTAATATGTAAACAGGTATGCTAATAATCTCATATCTGTCTGAGACTTTTTAGTTTTTTCAAAACATTATCTGCCTTATGGATATTGGGACACCCAGGTGAGCTATTTTATCTGAGAAGGTAAGACTCAGGCGTTGAGTGATGTGCGTGAGATGACATGATTTAGCAGCAAGCTGCAGGAAGCGCCACTGACCTCGCTCGGTTCTCTTGAGGCTTACAAATGAGACAAAGGCTGGAAAGCATCCAGCAAGCACTGGGCACAAAGTGGTCACTCAAATGCAACCATTCCCATAGCAACAGATAAGGTAGAAACAGCCTGCCTGGAGCCAAGGGCTTAGGACAGACAGCATCAGGACACGAGGTTCATAAAACAGGTTAGCTTTCTGGGAAAAGGTCTGGAGGAAGGACAAGGACACAGACTCCACACTGTAGGCCAGAGAGCCAGCAGCTCCTCTGGGAAATGGGAATGACCAATTCAATTACATGTTAAGAATGTTAAGCTGGCAGTAGAATGAGGAAACACAGTAAAGAGCCTAAAAGGAGAAGGAGCTTTTGAAGTAAAGTGGGTTTAAAAATGAGAAAATATCTGGGCAAAATACTGGAAGTAGGATGTGGGGAAAGACAGAAACTCCATGAGCTCATCTTCCAAGGTCACTGGTTCAGGGATACAAAAGCCAGAATCAAAGATGGTTAAGGTTAAGAGCTTGGATGATGATGAAGACATCAAAGGAGTAGTCAGAAGGAAAATGTGCTTACAGAGAATGCAGTCAAATTCCAGACAGTGAATTTGATATCTAGGTAGTTTCCCTATGGAGATTTTCCAACAAGCAAGCAGAAATACCTCATGAAGCAGGAGAAGAATAAGGAGTCATCCACAAGGAGCTAACATCTAAGGCCATGGAAGGAAGAAATCCAAGAAGACTTCACCAGGACGGAATCCTGTCTTCCCTACCAGCTGTGACTGCAAGGGGAAAATGGGTTATCAGGTGGACAAAAAAAGAATGATCAGAAAGATAACAGAATCACAGAAACATGGAGAGAACATTAAAGAGGAGCCGGTCAACATCAAACGAATGCATAGGAAGCACAGAAGAATGGAGGCTAAGAAATGTACTCAGTGCTAAGACTGTTCCATGCCAACCAGAACCAAGACTTACAAAGTACCAAGAGAGAGACCGGCATTGTGGCTACGGCCTGTGATGCCAGTATCCCACCTGGGCATCAGTTCATGTCCTGGCTGCTCCAATTCCAATCCAGCTCCCTGCTAATGCACCTGGAAAATAGCAGAGGATAGCCCAGGTGCCTGGGCCCCTGCCACACACGTGGGAGACCACATTGAAGATGAAGCTTCTGACTCCTGGCTTCAACCTGCTCCATCACTGGCTGTTGTGGCCATTTGGAAACGGAACCAGCAGATGGAAGATCGATATCTCTCTCTCTCTCTCTCTCTCTCTCTCTCTCTCTTTCCTTCTCTCTGTAACTCTCCCTTTATTTTTTTACAGTTTTTTTAACTTTTATTTAACAAATATAAATTTCCAAAGTACAGCTTATGGATTACAGTGGCTTCCCCCCCCCATAACTTCCCTCCCACCTGCAACCCTCCCATCTCCTGTTCCCTCTCCCATTCCATTCACATCAAGATTCATTTTTAATTATCTTTATATACAGAAGATCAATTTATTATATATTAAGTAAAGATTTCAACAGTTTGCACCCACACAGAAACACAAAGTGTAAAGTACTATTTGAGTACTAGTTATAGCATTAATTCACATTGTACAACACATTAAGGACAGAGATCCTACATGAGGAGTAAATGCACAGTGACTCCTGTTGTTGACTTAACAAATTGACACTCTTACTTATGGTGTCAGTAATCACCCTAGGCTCTTGTCACGAGTTGTCAAGGCTATGGAAGCCTTTTGAGTTCTCCAACTCCGATATTATTTAGACAATGTCATAGTCAAAGTGGAAGTTCTCTCCTCCCTTCAGAGAAAGGTACCTCCTTCCTTAATGGCCTGTTCTTTCCACTGAGATCTTACTCGCAGAGATCTTTCACTTAGGTTTTTGTTTTTTGTTTTTTCCCAGAGTGTCTTGGCTTTCCATGCCTAAAATACTCTCATGGGCTTTTCAGCCAGATCCAAATGCCTTAAGGGCTGATTCTGAGGCCAGAGTGCTGTTTAGGACATCTGCCATTCTATGAGTCTGCTGTGTATCCCGCTTCCATGTTGGCTCGTTCTCTCCTTTTTAATTCTATCAGTTAGTCTTAGCAGACACTAGTCTTGTTTATGTGATCCCTTTGACTCTTAATCTGATCATTATGATCAATTGTGAACTGAAACTGATCACCTGGACTAGTGAGATGGCATTGGTACATGCCACCTTGATGGGATTGAACTGGAATCTTCCTTTTGGGACAAGTTCGATTGAGCATGTCCCAGGTTGTACATCTCCTCCCTCTCTTATTCCCACTCTTATATTTAACAGGGATCACTTTTCAGTTAAATTTAAACACCTAAGAATAATTGTGTGTTAATTAAAGAGTTCAACCAATAGTATTAAGTTGTAACTCTCCCTTTCAAATAAATAAATAAGCCTTTTTTTCAAAAGGACAGTGAGAGTGCAGTACACATACCAGCTCTACAGATATGCTCACTTTGATGTGATTCTTTCCATTCCCTTTTCCATCTGATTTCTTTCAATCTCTCCAGATAGATTTGCTGCCTTACAGTGAAATATTCCTAAGTTTTTCCCCTTGTATATGTATAAAATGTAACAGCAAAGAAAGCATCCAAATACTGCTAAATGTAATGAAGAAAAAGAGGAAGGAGCCAGGAGCACATATAATCGATGTGAACCAGAGGTGAACCTTTTTTTCCTTTAGCCAAATAATTTCAAGGAGATGTCTGTGAATTCTGTCTCATAATAATTTGTAATAACCAATTAAATTCATTAGCGAATGAAATCCAAACCAAGATAAAAAAAAAATCAAGCCAAGAACACAGTGAGTAACTACAGTCATGGATCAGGTTAACTTACTATTGCATGTAATACTGATGAGCATACAGCTGCTGCCACCACAGCATCTGCAGCGGGCTGAAAGCAGGATAGGCCGGGAGCCCCGGTGGAACAGCCTGCTCAGGAGACTGGTTGTCCACATTTCTGCAGGAAAGAAATGAAGCCTTTTAATCCTCTGGGAGTTAAAAACATTTCTTCAATTTTCTATTTCTGGACTACAAATTAAGCAGCCACTAACAAAAATGTATTTAAATCATCCTGGAAAGGAAAATACTTATTATCAACATTCTTCCAATGAGACAATATGACTGATGATAAGTTAACCCAGGGCCCAAGTATATAACTTACACCTCAGCCCAATTTTTATGAGAAAACAAAGCAAGACCACAAAATGTGTAACAAACCTGAAATTTGTTATCTTCTCATTTCAGTACATAAAACCACAAATAACTTTCATTTGAGATACACCCTCCTTAAGAACCAAAACCCTAAAATAAACTTTGTAACAAAATATTTTGAGGAATAGGGAACGAGTCAAATGATATTCTACATTAGTAATAAAATATTATTAAAAAATATAGCAGGCCGGCGCCGCGGCTCAATAGGCTAATCCTCCGCCTTGCGGCGCCGGCACACCAGGTTCTAGTCCCGGTCGGGGCACCGGATTCTGTCCCGGTTGCCCCCCTTCCAGGCCAGCTCTCTGCTATGGCCCGGGAGTGCAGTGGAGGATGGCCCAAGTGCTTGGGCCCTGCACCCCATGGGAGACCAGGAGAAGCACCTGGCTCCTGCCATCAGATCAGCGCGGTGCACCGGCTGTGGTGCACCGGCTGCGGCGGCCATTGGAGGTTGAACCAACGGCAAAAGGAAGACCTTTCTCTCTGTCTCTCTCTCTCACTGTCCACTCTGCCTGTCAACAAAAAAAAGAAAAACAAATAAAAATATAGTAGCTATGGGACTGACGCTATGGCATAGCCAGTAAGGCCGCTGCCTGCAGTGCTGGCATCCCATATGGGTGCTGGTTCAAGTTCCGGTTGCTCCAGTTCCGATCCAGCTCTCTGCTATGGCCTGGGAAAGCAGTAGAAGATGGCCCCAGTGCTTGGGCCCCTGCACCCTCATGGAAGACCCAGAAGAAGCTCCTGGCTCCTTGGCTTCAGATCGGCCCAGCTCCAACCATTGCAGCCATTTCAGGAGTGAACCAGCAGATGGAAGACCTCTCTCTCTCTGCCTCTACCTCTCTGTAACTCTGTCTTTCAAATAAATAAATCTTCAAAAGACAAAAAAAAAACAAGCTGAAACTTATTTAAATTTATCAAGCCCCAGAAACAGCTACCAGTTTACATGCAATATTGGGATAGAATAAAATGATGAATGATAACCATGAGGACATAGCCCAATCTAGGTCACCATGAGAAATAACACAGAATGACAACAAAACGGTGTGAAATAACAAAAGAGGAAAGAAGGGAAATAGATTATAAGGACCTTTGGGAACATCAAACAAATGCAATATGCTGCTCTCCGAATAGTGATCCAACCAAAATAACTATACAAAGATGCGTGAAACAGAAAACTGAACACAAAATGAACTGGTATTAGATTACAATAAAGAATTTAAATTTGGTGAGTTTTCAAATGATATTGTGATTAAGATTTTTCAAGTTCATCTGTCATATCCATTATATACAGTAAATACAGATGAAATTATATGACTAGGTTTTGCTTTAAACTTCGTCCCAAGGGAGAAAAAAGGGAGAAGTAAGGGGACAGTTGAAAAACATCAGTCTGTTAATAGTTGTTGATGCTGTCTGTTAGGTACCTTGGGATTTATTATAATATGGCAGTGTTTCAAAAAACTTACGGGCAAGAATGTATTTGGCCTTGCAGTTAAGACATCTATGTCTTATTCAGAGTACCTGGGTTTGATTCCCAGCTCCAGTTCCTAGCTCCAAATTCCTGCTAATGCAAAACCTGGGAGGCGACCATGATAATTAACGTAGTCTGGTTCTTGCCACCCATGTGGGAGACCTGGCCAGCATTCCTCACCCTGAGCTTTGGCCCCAGCCCAGTACCAGCCATGGCAGACACTTTGGGAGTGAATCAGTAGATAGGAGTTCTCTCTTTTTCTCTCTATCCATCTGCCTCTCAATAAATAAGTGTTTAAAAACTGTGGAAAGACAATTAAAAGATGTGGTTATTTTGGTGCAAAAAAATTTGAAATCCATTCATAGTTCTTCCGTAATATACATGTCCCACAAACTCATAAATTCTTTGCTTTGTGACTATTTAAAAAGAATAAAGTCTTCAAATTTTTTTAAAAGCAGTGAATAAAAATTTTGTTTAACCTAAACATAGATAAACAGGGACTGGTTCATTAAATTATAGTAATTTATATAATGAAATATTATGTAATTGAGAAGGAACAGACCAGCTCATGTGCATCAAAATGGGACAATCATTAATGTATTTGGTGAAAAAACAAGATGTAGGCTAATGTTTATAGAAATCATGTACTACTTGCACAAGCTTATTTTATCTCTGGAGTAATACAGAGGAAAAAGCAAATAAAGGCTGCCTCTGAAGAGAGCAACAGGGAGTTAGAAGACACAGAATGAAAATCTTCAATACTTTTTTGTTTACTTTTAAAATGGTTTCGTGCACACTGTGCACACCTCTTAGAAAACAAGTTTTAAAAAATTGGCCTGTTTACTGGCCTCTCAGAACAGACTGTGTGCTCCTAAGAACAGAGAATAATGCTAACTCCAGCATTTAGCACGATAAATACGTGTTGAACAACTTCATATGAACATCAAGAAACCACTGAGAATAAAACATTGGTTACAGGCAACTACTCAGTAACTCATGAATTCCGTTTTTAAATTCTTCAACATTAGACAAAAACATGTGAGGTTAACAACATGGTGAAAACTGCAACTATATGGGGCAGGTAAGTGTTTGGCCCGGCACTGGTTGGGATACCTAAAGACAGTGGTTAGGATGCCTGCATCCCATATTAGAATATCTGGGTTCAATTTCCAGCTCCAGCTCCTCATTAGCTTCCTGATAATGCAAACTCTGGGAGGTACAGTGATGGCTCAAGTAACTGACTCCCTGCCACCAACATGGGAGATCTGGACTGAGTTCCTGGCTCTGTACTTCAGCCTAACTCACTTCTAGCTGCTGAAGGTACTGCGATAGTGAACCAGCAAATGGAAGCACTGTCCATCTGTCTGTGTGCTTCTCCCTCTCTCTCTCTCTTTCTCTCTCTCTCTTCCCTCCTCCCTCTCCCTCTCTCAAATAAACTTACCCAAGAAACCACAAAACTCTAAAAAAACGAACTACAACCGTATTACAGAAAATCACTTGCCAAGAAAAGGCTGCTAGAAGGATTTACCAAATGTTAACAAACCATTGTCCTTGGATCACTGGGCAGGTAATTTCCTCCTTTCTTTCTTTATTTTTTTCTGAACTCTTTTAACAATTCAAATAAGTGTTTTGGGTTTTGTGTATGTGTGTGTTTGGAGCTTGCTTACAAAAAGACAAAAGAGTGGGAACATGGGGAAAATACAACTATTTGAAATGTGCTATATGAGTTTCTCAACATTCTTCACACACAGAAACTAGCCAGAGCATAACCCAGACCTCTCTCTGGCCTCGGAAAGTCCACACAAGGAAACTGCTGACATTCATGTGTGGGAGGAACTCCCAGCTGCTGGCAGAAGTCCCAATGGCCTGTTTGTTCTTTGGGGATAGACTATACCTGTATGTACTGTAAGATAAAAACTAAATATAGAAAGAAAAAAATAGAATGTGGCAAATTCCCTGGAATACATGGGATTGGTAGAATACAACTGCAATTATAACAAAAATCAAGATCTAGACAAAATTTCACTCACAATTATATACGTGAAGGATATAGCAGAAGATACTAACATGTTTTCAAAGGTCAAGAATTACAGAGGTCAGGAGATAAAAAGAACTGGAAACTTTAATAATCAGGAACAGATTCTTTCATAGCAATCTGTTAAGTTAACCTTAGCTCCGCTCCCTCACTCCACCTGATTCAGAGCCACACCATGGGATCCCCAGGTCCCCAGAACCTGCCTTCTCCAACCTCTCCACCCTGGCTGAACCTCCCCTAAAGACAGACAGCTCCAGCGTTACCACCTCAGAGGCCCCCCATCCTCCAGGCAGAGTCCATCACCCTCCTCCAGGCTCACGAAAGCACAGGAGCAGTTGGTGATTCATTTGCCAACGTGACCTACTTCCAGGGACAGCAAGAACAGAAGTCACTTTCCTGTCTTGTGTGGCCAGCACACAGCAAATTCTACAGCAAGCATTTACTCAGTGAAGTCACAGGGTATCCACGTGAACAGATCATTTCATGTGGTCACCAACGCGTAAAATCTACAAGGAGCTCTGACTACAGAAATGCTTTTAATAGGGGAAGAGGAGAAACCACCATTATAAACAAAGTCAAAATACAAGTGAAAACCTAGAAACAGACACTAAAACAAATGATACAGAAAACAGGGAGTCATGTGAGGAAGGCTGTTAAGGATACAGACTTCCAAATCAGATAGGAATTTGATGTCTGGATCTGTTACTGACTACTTCTGCCAACTCAGGTAGGGACAAAACCTTTAAGCCTCATTCCTTTCAACCATTAAATAGGAGAACATAGGACCTAGAGCAAAGAACTGATGTAAAATGTAATGAAGGGTGCCGAAGCTATAGCACAGCAGGTTAACGCCCTAGCAGGCATCCCACATGGGCACCAGTTCAAGACCCGGCTGCTCCACTTCCTATCCAGCTCTCTACTATGGCCTGGGAAAGCAGTAGAAGATGGACCAAGTCCTTGGGCCCCTGCACCAGTGTGGGAGACCAGGAAGAAGTTCCAGACTCCTGGTTTCGGATTGGTGTAGCTCCAGCCGTTGCAGCCAACTGGGGAGTGAATCATTAGATGGAAGACCTCTCTCTCTCTCTCCCTCTTTCTGCGCCTCTCCTCTCTCTGTGTAACTCTGATTTTCAAATAAATAAATAAGTCTTTAAAAAAATGTAATGTAGACATGTGTAAGTACTCAATATAACACTTACTTTGGGCTAATGCTCAATTAAGTATAAATATCCCTTCAGATAAGGAACCT